GGTTCAAGTCTACGGGTTGACACTGATACTATACACAGGTAAGACAGGGAACTAGGGATCGAGCCCTGGGATCTGCATTCGCTACTGCGAACTGGTGAATACCGTTTCAATTTCTGTCCAATGGTGCAATCTGGTCCTTTTTATTGTCATTCACCCTTCTCATTTCCTTGCACTTCCCACCCCAGAAACAAAAATCCAAGAAAAGAAAGGTTGGTACTTTCTACTTAGTACTCACTGAGGTAATTGCGCTAGCCAAGGCCGCAGACAAAAGGCTGTCCAGAATAGTCAGATGTTGGGTGGCATTATTTCAAGTACCGCCATTCCCTGCTTCAGCGCCTGTACATGCCGCGCAGCCATCATTTGCATTTGGCGTTTCCCATTCACACTCGTAACAATGTTTCTGCTCGCCCGGGCGCTAGAGATGGCCGGATCTTCGGAATGCGCTTGTCTTGCCTTGAAAACCTGAAGTCTCTGCTGAGGGTCTGTCGCCGCCATTGCATTCAGTCAGAAATTCAGGACACAATGATGTCAGAAACTTTTGGGTGCATCGGAGCCACGAAGCCTTGTTGCCTTTTCGTTCTCAGATTTTTATTGTCTTTTTTTTCTTTAATATAAAAGGTTGTGAAGGCTGGAGGTGTAGGCAGGTCCTAGGCGGACGGCCAGTGCTATAATCACACTCCAACGACACACCCAGGAAAGAGCCGGGGATGCCACGGCGAGAGCCTCCCTATGCTACCCAGTCCCGCAGCGACCTTCCTCCCCTCCCCCCTAACTGTGTATGTTATAAGCACAACCAGCAGGACGCTCAACGGGCAAGACCAACCCATAGTATAGCATCTACACACCCTTACAGCCGGCCAGGGATGCAAATGCGCCAGAGCCCAATACGGCAGATTCCGAATGCGGCACTCACTCGAGCAAGCCAGGACTCGAACCCGCAGCCTGTGCCTTGCGACACAAGAACCTGTAGAACACAGGCGCCCGACCAACTGGGCTGGGCTACTGCACATTTGCTGAGCCATTTTTTTCTATCATCAGCGTAGTTCGGGGAATCGATCCCTGGAGGTACCTTTTTTCTTAACAACTATGTCGATCGGAGATGAGAAAAACAACACAGCAGTTATGGGTATGCTCCATGTGATCAAGACTGCAAACAAGATCAGGTTCTTAAAGAGTGTTTTGTTATATGAAGGGAGACCCAAAAAAATCAAAAAGATCATTTAAAAATGCTTACCATGCATCAGCTTCTTTCTTTGGGTACTTCTGATCTGGTTCTTCACTCTTTCTTTGGCTCTCAAGAATGCCTCCGCTGTCTTCTTAGTTTTGAAACCCCTGACCAAGGCAAGCCGCACACACGCGTGCACACACACACACACACACACACACCAGGAGCTGACCTTTAATTGCAAATGCACAAATCACTCACCAATGCTGTGCTTGTTAGCATGAACACAAGTGGCAAGTGGTTGACAGGGACCACCACTTTTCAGCCCCAGGTCAAGATACAGGGGAACTAACCACATATATAGCACAGCGGGCGTGCACTCTCCATTACAAACACACACATCGCTCACCAGTCCTGTGTTATTTGGCATGAACCTGGTCGTGTTGCTCGCTAGGTTCATGGTAACTTAGCACGGACATAGCACAGCAGGAGCTGACCGTTGATCGTGCTAACCACTCACCAGTCCTTCGCGATCTCTGCCATGGTCTCCTTCTTCTTCTCCAGTGTCTTACGCCCATTCCTAAATCTACCAGCTCCAAATCCAGATGAGCTCTGCCACATGCCAAAAAAGGAAAACTTAGTGGAAATGAAACCAAGAAGGGAAGGTGATAACAAGGTGCGTAAACAAACCGACAAGTCTTCCCACAGGTACAATGCATTTACCAAGAACTTGTAAGATACAAGTCCTGAAAAAAAAAAAAAAAAAAAAAAAAAA